TGGGGAGAGGGAGGTCTGGGCTTCTCTGCTTAGGCTGCTGCCCCCGCGACCCGACCTCGGATAAGCGGAACAAGATGGATGGACACTTAAAAAACTGCATATATATTGTGGCTGTTGATTGGTTGTCAGGACTCCTTGAGCCCTCCTCCCTGTGTAAGGTCTCTTCCCTCCTCGGACCAGGCCGTGTTTTTATTAGAGAGTTTGGTGGGATTGTTTCCGGGACCAACCCTGGCACCCATGTCGGAGCTGGAGTGAGGCTGGAGCTGGAGTGAGGCTGGAGCTGGAGTGAGGCTTAGCCATCAAATTAAAAATGTGTCACTTTTTTACAGTTCAGATTGTTGTTTTGAACAGTTGCTCTTGTCTATTCCGACTGACCCACAGAGTGTGTGCATGAATACTTTGGTATGAGTGAGTGTTGTCCACCCAATATTAGAATGTAAACAGGAACCCTTGTGCTGTTCCTCCTCTTCCTCCCATCCAGGTGACAGTCCAGGTGTTAAACCAGCTGATCCAAAAGATCAGGGAAGACCTTCCCAACCTGGAAGCTAGTGAAGAGACGGAGCAGATCAACAAACACTTCCACAACACACTGGAGCATCTTCGTCTGCAGAGGGAATCCCCTGAATCTGAGGGCCCTGCCTACGAGGGCCTGGTCCTTTAAAGCTGATGTAGGTTGGAAAAGATAAAGTCCGTTTTAGATGTTCCACTATATTAAGAGTAGACAACCGCACACTATCACACGAATAAAGAAGTTGTGTTAAAGGCCAGGGATAGAAATAAACATCACGAGCTGAAAGAACTTTCAGTCCTTCATTTAGTTGTTGACGTCTCTTCATCATTCCTCCCTGCATGTGTAAAGCAATGCTGCACGTAACGTTAGTGTGCAGTCGTGGCAACTCTTTTATTTACCATTCCTTTATAAGGCCACAATTAACCAGTTTGTCTGTATCCTGCACTATGTTAATGTTGATGGAGGACGTGCTAACTGTCATCATGCCTTCAGCTGTTGATATCTGTCATATTGAGGAGTGAATGTAATAGCCGAGTGTATAAAAACTACAGAAAATCTCAGAGTTGTAGTTCTCTTGCAGCGGTTTGCATACGGCCTGGTTTCCTGAACATGAATAATCAATAACTCTGCTGTTCTTTAGGTTGGCTTTGTGGCAACTCTAAACAGATTGTGCCAAACCAAACTGAAGACCAGATGACCGTGCGATCTTTGGCCGTCACACTTCAGCGTTCTTCGTTTTGCCACATCGTGCTCGTCACTCTCTCTTTAGGCTCCTTATAGTGTCTCGTTTGAAGGCAGGACTTCTCACCACTGCATTGACCTGGTCAAAACTGTGGTGTGTTTGCATGCTTTAGTGTGCTTGGCATCAAAGGGCCAGTGTTTAGTTCACTCTCTGGATCTCACTAATTACTGTTTTTTGTTCTTCCCCGTGATATGTTTTGATAACAAAC